TGGAGCTGCGTGTTGGACGAGACTCTAATCAGAGAAGCTGGGATGCCTGAAAGAGGGATACTTAGGCAGGGAGTCAATGTCGATAGCCTTATGATGCTTCCTCTAAAGTGTAAGGACGGTTTACTCTCTGAGCTCCCTCTGTATGTCATCCCTAAGGCCGCTGATGAACCTCTCAATAACCACAAAACTCGGCTCATTTAAGTCATTGCGGATCAGAAGGTCATCGTATCGAGAGACGTAGTCGGCTATCGATGAGGTTCCTTGCTTGAGGTTGTTCAATTTGGTTGAAAGCATGCTTAATGGCTGACCGGCACTTACTTTCCTTAAGCTTCAACTTCATCTCCTCCCAAGTAGTGACAGGAGGTTGCCCTAGGCGTTCAAGGTTCGTTTGGACGAACTGCCAATACTTCCTTGCAGATCCTACGAGCTTCATCTTGGTAAAACGAACGCGTTGTATGTCACTCATATTGTACCACTCGAAGTAGTCGTCCATGGTGGCTAACCAATCGAGGAAGGCATTCGCATCTAAACGACCATCAAAGTCAGGTGCCTCAACTTTAACCCTCTTCGTCGCATCATCATTGTAGTCTTGCCGAGGGTGTCTCGGATCATTTGGGCGGCGACGGTTCTCGTCCATACCTAGGGCGCGCGGCGTATCCTCCATAGGCTCGTCAATTCACAACATGGGATTCGTAGCGAGCCTCTGTCCCTGCTCATCCCATGGGTTGTCCTCTTCCTCGAACTGTGGGGGAAGGGTCTCAATGTGTAGCGGTTTAGCCTGCGGGTTACGTATCCCTATAGACAGTTGGGAGCCTCTAGTGTGAGATGGTCCAATGGTGTCGAACTTAAGGTGCGCTTGATTGGTCTCAGGTACATTTCCAAGAATCCCTTCTGCACCTTTACTAAAGACATGCCTATCAATTCTTAGGAGAGAATCTCTAATTTCTTGCTGGGAGGTCCTAAGCTCTTGATTAGATACCTTAAGCTCCTGAGTAGTGGCTCTAAGCTCCTGACACTGGGAGTTATATTCTTGCTTAATCTCGACCAAAGATTCCTTAAGGCATTTGGTAAGTTCATTCAGTTTTAGTTCAAAGGTTTGAAGTCTCTGGTCCATTTGGGATTGAAGGGAGCTAACACGAGGTTCTAAAGATTGAAGTGTTTGGTCTAAGGTGTCTTGTCTATTTTCAATATCACGAATAGTCATGCAGTAGGTAGACGAAAGCTAACAACAAATATGAAGCAAGTAAAGAGCTACTAATAAAATGAAAATAATTCTTCCTCCTTTTTTTTTCTTTTTTTTTTCTTTTTTTTTCTCTTTTTTTTTTAAACAAATGAAAATGCTAATAAAATACAATATCTACGGTAGACAATAATCAATAAAAATGGCAAAAGCAAACTAGTAACCTCCAGTATGTCAAACTAGTCACAGTAAGTTAAGAGAGGGTCAATTGTGCCTTACCAACGCACTTAAAGAGACCAGAAAAATTACCCCAAAGTGTCTAAATGATTCTGTGGCCGAAGTGAAAATTTTGACAAAATCCGGTCCAGAAGTGTAATTTCCTCGAACAAATTGGGTCAGACTGGAAAATTTCAAAATCTGGGGCGAAAGTCGAAATTTTCTGGAAAATTCGGGTCCAAATGTGTAATTTTCGCTAAAACTGAATCTGGAACTGCAGAACACGGAGGCGCGTGGATCTCACACGCAGATACTACTTCCGGCACGTGGAGGCGCGTCGATAGTTCGTTGGCCGTGAAACTTCGGGGTGTGACCGTGTTCCTCCCTACGGTTCGAACGGCGGTGGTTTCGCGGCAATCGGAGGTCGGACGAGAGAGTTATGAGCCTTCAAAGTGACGGTGACGGTGATCTTGCGCAGTGGACTTCTTCAGGCAGTAACTCCCGTGAAACTGAGTGATCTGGACGGTTATTGGCCGAAGAGGATGATAACGGTGGTGGCACGGTGAGAGGAGGCCTAGGAGTGAATGGACAGAGGCGATTGTGCGGCAAGACCTAGAGAGTGACGGCACTGATGGAGCTTTTGAACTTAGGGTGTGTGTTGGATGGTTTGGATTGATAGAAATTAAACACAGGGAAACACAACAGGCTCTAATGCCAAAATTGATGTAAAACAAAAAAGGATTGAAAGGGATGAGAGGTTAGAGAAGAGGAAGAAGAAGAGAGGAGAAGTGAGAAGCAGGAGAACGGGAGAAAACTGATCGATAAATTCTAAATGCCAAGTCTGGCTCACAAAATTGAAACCCTAAACTATAAATAAAAGAAAGAAATAAAATAAATAAAAGAAATAAAATGAGGGAGAGTGGGGAAGTGGGGTGAATGGAGTAACTACCCATGATCTAAAATAAACAATAATAAATAATTAATTAGTTAGATTAAAATCTGCATCATTCAGTTGCAAATTTAACTGATTTGTCCACCAAAACCATGTAGCTAAGAACCAATATTAGAAGAATCATGAGCACTAAAATCAAAAGCGAACGGATATCTCCTAAAACACAAAATATGGATCCGTCCTCATCCCATATCTTGGCCCATCTCAAAAAATTTCGGGTCGAGACTAGGACAGGCTAATTTTGAACGCTTCAATATAAAGCCCACATGTTTTTCTGTCAACGTATTTTGCATCCATAACCTTAATAATCAATCGACAGCGGCATTATCATTGCCTTCTTTGCTTTCAGATCCAATAAAGTATTGAAGAGATCGAGTGCCAATCACGCACTTGACATGCTAACTTGAAATAGAAAGAAGGAGACATTTCTTTGCTTGCTATTGGTCTGGTGGGACCTCACACGATGGATTCAGCGTTCTGGGTTTTAAATTTTTATGGTGAGGTGACTTTAGGGAACTGTTTTAAACCGTAGTTAGCATTTTTCTACTTCCTACCTATTTCTCGTTTCAGTTATTATATTGATATTTGAGTTATATCAAAATTTAAATGGTTACATATATTTAAATTACTTTTGTAAAGTAAATAAAAGATCATTAAAGTAAGGGATTGTGTTATTTATAATCTAAGTAACAACCTAAACCTAAACCTATATTTGGCTCACCTCAGCAGCCGTCTCTTGTTTTTTCTCGTTATATCCAGTCCTCCCCCTCATATCTATTTTTCCCTTCCCCATTAATTTTGCCAGGCACCTCATTGATTCCTTTTTCCGTTGAATGGATAAGTACATATACTGTAAACCCCATCTTTTCCCACTTGTCTTGTTTTCCTTCATCTGATTTTGTCTTTTCCCTCGTTCTCCAATCACCGGTACTTCCATGTGTGAAGCTTTTTCCAGGTAAAATAGTTTCTATCTTTAATTGAATTAGATGAGGCGAAAAAAACCATGAGACATACATTTGTGTGTATATGCAGGCGTGCTTGCGTTTTCTTTGTTGTTTTTCTAACTTCATAAAATCAATAACTTTTAATATCCCCTCCTATTCTTAATATAAGCGTTAGTTTAACATTCTATTTGGTGGTAAATATAAGATTTCAATTCACTTTATCTCTTATATTTATCGATTTTTTTTAAAATAGTCCTTTAGTAGTTGCACATGTTAAGGTGCTATCAATAATAATTCTAGCTAATACACATTATTAGTAAGAGTATTCTAGAAAAGATAACACCTGTTTATTACAAATAACTAACTTGACAAACTTTCTTCATCTACTCAAATTAATCAACTAACTTTTATATTAAAGATCAGAGGTGGTATGTTGCAGCTTTTCTTTTACCCATAGTTATACCTTCCTCTCATGCCATAGACAATAAACACTGAAGGTTAATTGGTTAGATAAATAGGGGTGTGCGTGTGTATAGTCAATGCAATGTTGTGGCTATGGGGCACATGGGATCTTTTGATGAAACTGCCACACCCATGTTATAATGTTTGAAACCCTTCAATATTAATTTTAGAGTTTACTACTCAAAAAAAATTTATACATGTATTGGAACTTAGTTTACAAATTTAAATGTTGAAAGTTTGGAAATTTTATAAATTTAAGATTTACTTGTAGTTGATTATGATCAGTGTTATTAGAATCGTGTGATTCGGGATACAAATCGCACGATTTGTTACAGAAAATGCACTGGGAGATACGAATCTCCCAGTGTATCTCAAGGGCTTCTGAATCGAGCCCTGAATCGCGCGATCACACCGGAATCGCGTGAATCGCGCGACGCCAGCGAATCGCGCGATTCTGGCAGCGTCGGGTCGCGCAGATCCGAACCGGATCTTGCGCAACCCCGACACGATGAAATCGCGTTTTACCTTTTTTTTTTTTAATTTTTGCTTTTTTTCGGTTATATAAGGAAGCAAACGACCCAACCCTTTTTTTTTTTATTCCCCTGGTCTTCTTTCACATTTTAACTCTCTATCTTGTGCCCCACGCTTCTTTTCTTCTCTTCCGTTGGTTCGTGGCTGAAATTGGAAGCTTTCAAGTTTGAATATTGAAGTCTCAAGTCTCCTCTTTTGCTGGTTCTTTCTCTTCTCTTCTATTCTGTGGTATTTCTTTTCCTCTATTTTTTTTATTGGATATTATATTGGTGGGAAAAATGAGTCAAATCAGAATAAGAAAAAAAGGAAGCTGACATTACATGGAAACATTGTGAAAGTGTTCCTGCCCATAGACTTATGGTTAAATGCAAATACTGTTCACATCAATGTTGGGGTGAGTAGCCAGGATGAAACATCATTTGGCAGGAACCAGAGAAAATGTGAGTCCATGTACAAGTGTTCCCGATATGAAGTTAAAAGTTGTTTGTTAAAATGCTAGAAAATAAAGAAAAAAATAAGATGCTATTAGTGTTGAAATATTGAAGAAGCAACTGCTCAAGATGCTAAGGGGAAGGAAGGGACATCAAAAACTATCAAACAAAAAACAATGAATGAGATGGTAAAAGATTGAGATTTAGTAATTCAAGATATTTGTAAATACATCTATGGTAATGCTTTACCATTCAATTTGGTAAGAAGTCCACTATTTATTCAAATGTTAAAATCTGTTGGTGAATATGGTAGGGGTTTGAAACCTCCAAGTTATCATGAGGTAAGAGTTTCTCATTTAAAAAAAGCTGTTGATAAAATTCAAGAAAGTTTAGTGAAGTATAAGAAGGATTGGGAGAAATGGGGTTGTACTTTGATGTGTGATGGTTGGACTGATGGTAAAGGGAGGTCTCTTACTAATTTTTTAGTTAATAGTCCTAGTGGGACAGTCTTCCTAAAGTCAGTGGACACAAGTAGTGTGATTAAAGATGCTAAACAAATGTTTGAATTACTAGACAATATGATTGAGGAAATTGGAGAGGATAATGTGGTGCAAGTTGTGACAGATGGTGCCTCAAATCTTGTGGCAGCAGGGAAGATGTTAGAAGAGAAGAGAAAAAAATTATTTTGGTCTCCTTGTGCAGCTCACTGCCTTGATTTAGTCCTTGAAGACATTGGGCAACTTCCGGTATTTTATAATACCATCACCAATGCAAAGAAAATAACAACATTCATTTATAGGCATACATGGGTCTTGAACTTGTATAGAAAATATTCCAAGGGACGAGAATTAGCTAGACCGGCAGTGACAAGATTTGCAACAGCTTATCTTACACTAAGTTGCATATTCCGGCAAAAGAATGCTCTTCGAACCATGTTTGCTTCAGATGATTGGGTTTCTGGTTCTTTTGCTAGTAAAAGTGAGGGTAAGCAAGTGGCGGACATGATTTTTGGGGATTCTAGATTTTGGAGTTCCATCAAATATTGCTTAAAGTGTGTGAGTCCACTTGTAAAAGTTTTGAGACTTGTAGATGGTGACTCTAAACCTGCTATGCCATATATTTATGAAGCAATGGATAGGGCCAAAGAAGAGATTGCTGACAATTTTGAAAAGAAAGAATCAAGGTATAAAAAGATATGGAAGATTATTGATACTCGTTGGAATTTGCAACTACATAGACCCCTCCATGCGGCTGCCTACTTTCTTAATCCTAAGTAAGTTTTATACAATTTAAAGTTTAAAATTTAAATATTTATATTTATTATTAATTGTATGCTAGAAAAAGATAACTTATTCATTATTTTTTTAGGTTCCATTATGATGAAAAATTTAATGCGGATCAAGAAGTTTATTTTGGTTTATATGAAACTATTGAGAGAATGATTCCGGATAGAAAGACAAGATTTTTAGTTGATCAACAACTCGAGGCATTCAAGTCTGCTAAGGGACTTTTCGGAAGGAGCATGGCAATAGATACTAGAAACAAAAAGCAACCTGGTATTATTCTCTAGTCTATACTATCTATAAGAATTTAATTTTTAACCTTAATAATAAATCTGAATTTTGAAAAACATTCCTAATTATTGTTTTTTTTTTTAGCTCTTTGGTGGGAAAGTTATGGAGGAGAAGGTAAAGAGTTACAAAAGATAGCTATGAGAATTTTGAGTCTCACATGTAGTGCTACTGGATGTGAAAGAAATTGGAGCACGTTTGATCAAATCCATACTAAGCGAAGGAATCGCTTAGAACAACAAAGGTTGAATGCACTTGTATTTGTCAAGTATAACCTTCAACTTGAGATGAGACAGAAGATTAGAGAGGAAAAGGGAGAGACATATGATCCCATTTGTTTATCAGATATTGAATCTGATGATGAGTGGATCACTGAAAAAGAAAACCCATGCTTGCCAGTAGATGGGTCATGGATGGACATACATGAGAGTTTCACTCTTGATGAAGGAGCTCCAAGCAAGAAAAGAAAGAGAGGTATAATATTTTAAAACTAAATTTAAGTTGATTTTAGTTTAAATATATATCATCATACTTATTAAGTTTTTTTTCCCCCTTAGGTCCAAGAAATTTGAATGCCAAAACCAATAGCAAAGGGAAATCTATAGTAGAACAAGAGAATGAGAATGAAGATAATGTTGAAGATGGGGAAGAAGAGGATGATGAAGAAATGACATTGTTAATGGAGAATGATCATGAATTGAGTGACATTGATCTTGGAGATGATGAATGATGGATTGAATTTTATGTTTACTGACTTTAGTCTTTTTAAGTTAGGAGTTTGACTTTGAATTTTGAATGGATTTTGGAGACTATTTATCTTTAAAATTTCATATATTGGTTATTTCATTTTTTTTGGGGCAGTTTATAGCACCTAATATTTACAAACTTTTAATATTTTTTATGTGAAAATTACTTATACATTATCCTCAATAATTGTTCATGAATCTTACGATTCACAATACGGTACGATTCAAGATTCATAAAACCGGCTTTCCGATACACGATTCGTATCCCGATTTGATAACCATGATTATGATAATGAACTAACTAAATGATAATGGAATATGGATTTAAAAGAATTAATTTTGGGTTTTTAGGGTAATTTTAGGGTCCTAGCGTAGATTTAAGACAACCTTAGACCAGCCTTAGGACAGGTTTAAAATAGTTGAGTTATAAATTAATGTTTATATGTATGCGATTCTTGTAGACTCTTGCTATGAGCTCTTGTTACATGGATTTGCCATTAAATTGCTTGTGGGAAAAAAGAGAACAGGTAACTTGGGATTTTTTCAAATATGTTTGTTATCATTGAGTACGCATGGATAGATGTATGAAACATTATTTGGTCATGCACAAGTACACAATTTATTCAGATTGCCAAATGGTGAAAAAAATGATATGGATGTATTATATTTCATTTTTATTTAATTCAGCTAAGCATGTTGTATATTTGTAGATATGCACATATGAAATAAAAACATGAGAGTAAATGATTCATGAAATATTCTAAATTCTTTTAAGCATGTTTGTATGTACCGAAATTGCTGTATATGCATGACATGCATTGATGGTTGAGTTGAGGAGCTTATGATACTGATATATTGTAACCACATGATTTGCCTCCACTTTGTGCACAGCAGTTAGCCTTTTTAGGACGTCATTCTTTAATAGTTACCTAGTCATGTTTGTAGAGGAGGAATGTAGGACTGTGATACCTCCTAATTTGTTTTTTAAAGAGAGGAGTCATAGTCTGAGCTTGGTCTCTATACATTTGGCCAGGTACATTTTGAGTACTAGAGTAGTTTTGGCTAGTCTGGTATGTGAGCCAAACCATAGATAAGCCTATGGTTTTAGTTAGCAGAATAAGGTTAGATAGAGTAATAAGGGAGAAAGCATCCATTGCATATAGAGATTATATGATTTCAATGATATTGTGTGCTAATGATTATTTACGTTATTTCAATAACTGCATATATGTTAGATAATGATTGCTTGTGTGATAGCCTGTGTGTGCATGACTATTCTATAGGTTACTAAGATGTTAGTACTCACCTTACTTACTTGACTCTTTTTCAAATGAAGTATCTCATAGGGAGAAAGAAAAGGCACCGGAAGAGTGAGCCTTAAGGATTCTGTTGTGCTCTTTGATCATATATTGTGATTATATTTAATTGTCATGACTCTTGAAACTTTTCTATATGTATTAAATAAAGTATTCCAAAAATTTAACTTTATTAATTTGAATATTGTTTGTGGGAGTCGAGCAAATGTCTTTGGGACAATCTCTAAGTCCTTATCGATATTAGTTGGATGCTATGCATACGCTATCAAAAAAACATGCAATTAGTGATAGAATTTTTATTTAGTGACAGAATTAACGACGAAATTAGCAACGGATTAGTGACGAAACAAATTCTATCGTTAATTCTTCTGTCACTAATTGGGATTAGCAACGGAATTGAAATTTCGTCGCTAATTATCAACAGAATTAGTGACAAAATAATTTTTTGTCTTTAATTCCAACATAATTTTTCTATCGGTAATTAGCAATAAAAAATTTTTGTCAGAAATTTCATCACTAATATGATTTTATTAAAAAAATTAAAATGCCATGTGGAGCCTTACCAGCTGCCCCTCATCATTGGCAATAGCCGGCCACCTCCATGTGTTGCTGCCAACTTACCTTAGCTGCCACATGTCACCACCTCTCATTTCCACATGTTGCTACCACGTGGAGCCTCTACCAAATGCCACCTCATCATTGGCAACAACCGGCCACCTTCATGTGTCGTTGCCACCTCACCTCTGCCTGCCACATGTCGCTATTATATAATTCCTCTTCAAAATGACTTCTTCACGGCTTGAACCAAAGACCTCATCTGTGCGCACACACGACTTCACCAATTGAGCTGAATGAACTTGCTAATTTATTATGCAAAATTGAATACATATATATAATATTCTCTTACACAAACAATTATATATACACATATATATTATTAGAAACTAAAAATAAACTATATGATAATTTTAATCATAACTATTTTTGTGACAAAATAATTTTTAGATATTTTTTAACTATTTATTTTATAATTATTTATTTTTTACAAAATATTTTTGATATAATATTAATTTCCAATGACACTAATTTTGAATTTTAAATTGTAAATAATTTTTTCATAAATATATTTTTTAAATTTAATTTTTTTATTTAACATTCATAAGATATATAATTTAATTATATATTTATTATATTATATTTTATTATCTATATTTGTTTTATATATTTGATGAAAACCATTTTATAATTAGGAAAAAATCTTTTTGTTCAAAAAATAGCTATCATAATAAAATCTAATGGATTATTCTATATAAAAAAAATTAAATGATTTGAATAGATTATGATAAACAATATTCTCCTATTTATATATATATTTTACATAATTTATTTTCTTAAAATTTTTTCTATTTACCATTTGTTTTTGCATTGAAAACTAAAATCAATCTATATTATGAGTATTAATTATATCATGATCAAATTTTATTGTTTAATGATTGAAATTCAAAGTTTACTTTAATATTAGTTTGATTTATAATCATAAATTGAGGTGTTCATATAAATTCATTTTTTGATTTTGAAGAGGTGTTCATATAAATTCATTTTTTGATTTTGAATTTCTATCATATATTATATCTTTCAACATATTGTACATATAATAGAATTGTTTCTTTCTTATATCAATTTGTGACAAATTAGAGATGTAAGAATATAATCTAAAATGATGAAATTAAAATTAGTGACAAATTAGAGATGGAATTTTTGTTAACAAACAATTTAGCGACAGAATTAGCCATGAAAATTAGTGACAAAATAATTTTTCGTCACTAATTCTGTCACAAATTTTAATTATAAAATTTTATCCATGGAATTAGCGACGAAAATTTCCAAAGCAAAAAATTCCATCGCTAATTCTATGGCTAAATATTTACTGACGGATTTTTTAACGGATTAGTGATAAAAAAAATTTCTGCGGATAATTTTAGTGACAAAAAATTTCTGTCGCCAAATTTAGCGACAGAATTTTTGTTAGTAATCCATCAAAAATTAATGACAGAATAATTTTCCGTCACTAATTCTGACGGTAATTAACTGTTTTTTTTTTGTAGTGATACTAGTGTTTTAGATGAGCTATTACCTATTCAATATAATCCAACTATTTTCCAGATATATTATTTCTTCTAATAAAATTATTGAATTAATATTTGCTTATTGTTATGTGGACTTTTTTAGGTTAGGTATGTCCACAAGAAGATAGCTATTGCTCAAATAAGTTTAAATATCACAAGGGCCTCCATCCTCAAAGGAAGAGAAGAAGACCTCCCATAAGATTCTTCAAAAGGCATTCTTTTTATTCTAGGAAATTTGGCCAATGTTACCTTTAGAAAGAAAGGGTATTTTGCAAAAAGTTGTCTTGACAAATCCAAGAAAAATATGAAATTATTACAATGTCTAGAGACCAATTTGATTATCAAAGAAAATGAAGATGTAGAATTTGTAACATTCTCAATTTATTTATTTTGAGATTTAATGTTAATTATGGTTTAAGATATATAATTAAAGAGTAAAATGATTTAGGAAGGGTATTAAAAAATAAATTATTATTGTATAAAAAATAATAAATAATAAATTCAGCAATAAAGAAGCTAATAATAGAAAGAAATGTGTGAAGGAATGGGAAATACTTCCATAAAATAATGGTTTAAGACACGTGTGTGCGAAAAAAATATTATTAGTGTTATGACTTTTATTAAAGAAAAAAGATTATTATATTATTTTTATAATGAAATGAAATATAAATCCTAAACCTAAATTTGTCTCACATAAATTCTTTTTTTTCCTCCCTACTTCTTACCCTTTGGCACGGCTCTGCACTCCCAATGATAAGTTTTTTTCTTCTCTCTCTTTCTTTCCTTGTTCGTCCTCCCATGCCTTCGTTATTTTGATACACATCCTCTCATATTTATATTTAACTTGCTTTTCTTTTTCTATTCTTCAACTACTTTTTGTTTTGTAGGTCTTGTCGGTGATATGTTTGTCTCCTGATTTATTTTATTTATCCTCACCTATTCCCTTTCTAGAATCCTAAATGGTGGGGGTGTGTCTTAGATATATATTTTTTACTTTACGCCTTTTTTCTCCATTACTGTTGGGAGTGTGCACTTGTTTTTTATTTAGAAAAAATCCATAAAAATTTTCTCAAATTTTAAAATTTTAAATACGTCTTATTTATTACATTTTAGTAACAATTGACTATGCTTAGAAAGCAGATAACAATGTTTTTTTTTTTGTAGTAATCCTTCATTTGCGATTTTGAAATTCAAATCTATTTTTTTAAGAAAAAAATTATTTTATTTTATTTTACTGCTTTTTTACCCCAATTTCCTCCTTGGTCACCTGCTAAAGGTGTGTGATTGTGTGTGTTATATATAAGTATATTTAATTCATTTTTCATGACCCCACTTTTTTTCAACTCCTTTATAACATTGAGATTATATATTACTTTATAAATTAAGTAAATTAATTTGAGGAAAAAATGATAAAAATGAAAGATAGAAGTTTTATACTCCTCTGTTCCTTAATATATGACCTAATTAGAAGGTTGATCTTAGTTTTAAATATAATATCTATTTCTCATATTTACCAATTCTTTCTTAAATTATCCCTATTAA